TCTCCTCTCTCTCTCTCTCTTTTTCCCTTCTTCCTTCTTATCTGTCTCTCTCTCTCGCTCTCTCTCTCTCCTCTCTGTCTCTCCTCTCTCTCCCTCATTTGTATCCTCTCTCTCTCTCTCTGTCTTTCCCTCCTTCCCTCTCCGCGTCTCCGGTTTGCCCAGGGCTTGGCTCGTTTCCCAGCCCCCGTTCAGCTTCTCCTTTGCACGGGGACTCCGACGCCCCAAGCGCACATGAGGGGGCCGCGCGGCGAACGACAATGAAGTGAGGGCCCATGCCAAGAAACGACATTGAATCTCTGGGTAGGGGGGGGGATATGAAGGCGTGGACCATGATGTTTCCTCAGATTTCATGGCACCTCTTCTCATTTCCTCACGTCCCTGCCCCTCCCCCCCCCGTGCTGCGCACACGCCACTGGCCATGATTTGCGCCCCCCTCTTGAATGCACCCCTCTTGGCCGCCCCCGAATTCGCTGCACCGTAAAGGCTACAGTGGAGGCCCGTGCCAAGAAATACCCTGCTTGCCTCCAGGGTGCCCTGGGTTCCTTGGGTTTCGAGTGTTTGCGATGGGAAGCAGGACGTTCCCACGCCCAAGATCAGTGGAGGTCCTGGGGTCTCAGGGCTGGGTGTTTCTTGTGGAACGTCTCTTGTGGACTGGCCTCCACTGTACATCTCAGAGGACTGGGGAAGAAGAAGGCCTGGCTTCATGAGCATGGTGCCCCCGACGATCGGGTCCTCCAGAGCCACCATCCAGCTGCACGGGCCGTCTCTGGTCGGCGGCGCTGTCTACTCGTGCGGGGTGGCGCTGGGCCAGTCTCCGGTGCAGACTGCGGTGTCGGAGTCGAACGCGGCGCTGAAAACAAGAATGACCGACTACCGCTCGTCGGCGGAGATGAGGCAGTACTTTGCGGTGGCGGTCGTAGAGAGCTCCGACAGCGCCGTCGGCGAGCAGCTGTGCTTCGGCGCCGCCTTCGGCTCTTTCTGGGAGGGCGCAGAGGATCGACTAACAGAAAAATCGCAGGCACACACACACACACACCTTCGGGGGCCCGCGCGGATTCCTGGGATCTGCTCTGGACCCCCCTGGCGGAGGGCCTCCGGCCGAGCCCCCTACCGCGCTCCGCGCGCTCGGGAAGAGAGTCCTGCGCACCGATCCACACAGACCCGTGCGGGCCCTCGACAGTTCTCGTGTAAGTGCAGATGCAGCCTCCCCAGGAGAGGAGGGTATGTGTACAGCAGGCGAAGATCCGACAGGGACTGCCCGCTCGATGTCGGACTGTGGCTGCGCTTCTAGACGGGGGGGGGGGGGCTTCTCGACCTTGGGGAGCTCTCCGAGCGGACGTTCGAAAGGACTGCCTTCCTTCAGTTCGTCTTCCCTCCGCGAGGAAGCGCTCCGCGAGGCCGAGGCCAACGCGACCGCTGGCGAGAGCGGCGAGGGCGGCGTCTGCGCGTGGAGCCGCGCCGCCCAGACGTCCACGGGCGCCCCCGGCGCGCGCTACACCCTCCGCGTGGGCGCGCAGCGGCGCCGCCCGGCGGGCCCGCGATCATCGGAGGGCGGCAGCTGCCCACCTGCGCCGATCCCAGCCGGGCCGGTCCTGAGCCCACGGCTGGTGCGTGTGCCGTCCCCGCAGGGTTTCTCCGAAGGGCTTGGGCGACCCCTCCTCCTCCTCCTCCTCCTCCTCCTCCTCCTCCTCCTCCTCCTCCTCCTCCTCCTCCTCCTCAGGTCGCCTACGGCCCTGGGGGGAAGCGTGTATCCCCGCCGAGCCAGGACGGGACAGATCGGACGGGGCTGGGACGAGGATAGGTCCGTTCCCGTGCGTTCAGGAACGCTCCGAGAAGGCCGCGGCGCCCGAGACGTCCTTCAGGGCCGCCAGATCTCAGAGATGCTCGATTGATCCTCATGCGAATCGATCCCCGCCCTGGCTTCGCCTTCGCCTCGGCGAGGACCATCGAGGAGCCTCCTGGATCATTGAAGCCAAAAAGACAAATCATGCACGAAGCCGGCAAATTCACGGGGAGTGGACGTCCGAGCGATGGCGAGAGAGCCGGGAAGGGGGCGAGTGCACCGAGTCTTGGCCCAGGGTGGTGGGCCCGGCTAGGCTAGGTGTCGCGCTGTCTCTGGCGGCCTGCTCGGGCCGCCCCTCCGGCCACCGTGCCCAGGCTGTGGGTCAGAGGCCTCGTGGGTGCCTGGTTTCAAGTCGGGCATGCCCCTGTACAGAAGGGGTAGTCAAGAATAGTCCAAGAATTGTCTGGGGACGATGTTTCTATGGTTGATGTCTGATTTTTCGGATAGTTCAGATTATTTTCTGTGTATCGTACGAGATCCGCCTGTAGTAGGAGGAGATGCCCGACCTAAGCTTGGTTCGAAGGAGAAGCCACAGCATAAACATAAACTGTTGGCGCTCCGCGTGGGTTCCTTGCTTGGATCTGCGCTGGCCCCCCGCGCGCCAGGAAGGGGGGCCCAGCACAGACCCTAGAAATCCGCGCGGAGCGCCAAAAGTTTATGTTTATGACATTGTTTCTTCTTCTACTCTTGGGTACCTGGTGGGGTCTCTCGGGGAAGCCTCCAGAGAGCCTCTTGGGCACAGGTTGGGGGCCTCTTGGGGGCCGGCTGGGGGCACCTCGTGGGCCTCTTGGGAGGGCCTCGTGTGAGCTCTTGGGGCACTTGCAGGTCATCTCGATGGTCCCCTTGGTGCGGAGGGCTCGAAATCGCACGCCGTGTTCCCACCTTGGGCCCCTCTTGGGGCGCTCTGGGGCCACATTAATTGAGCGCCTCGTGGACCGTCTCGGGGCCCTCCAGAGCCGTCTTGAGACCCTGTTGGAGTCACCTGGGCCAGGTCACTGGGGCCGTGTGTTTGGGCGATCCTCTTGGGCCGTCCTGGACGCTGCGAGAAGGGAGGGAGGAGGGAGGGAGGCAGGGAGGGGAGGAGGGAGGGAGCCCAGGATGCGCAGCCACGGCCAGCATCGGCAAGCCCAGGAGGTGCAGCTGGCGACCTCCGCCAGCCGGCGGCGGCGGCGCGAGCGACGGCGCGAGCGCCGCGCCGGAGGCGGCTGGGGCCCCGGCGGCGGCCGCGGCCTCGGGGCCGGCGGCGCCCGCCGCGAGAGGCCGCCCGGCCCACGGCGCCCGGGCCGCGCAGGGCGGCGCGGCGGAGGCCTCGCCGGAGGCGCCGGCGGCCGCGGCGGCCTCTGCGGTCGACGAGGACCCGGGCTGTCCATGAAGTCGGGCATGTCGCTCTGCAGGACGAAAATGCAGAAATCTGCACGAACGAAATTGGTATACGGAAAGAATGGGTACAATGCCCAACAGCAGTTCCAGTTCATTTTGAACAGGATTCACTGTCCGCGCCGCCGCGGCCTGTGTCCATTTGAGACAGGAGGCCGCCTGCCCAACAGCGGCCGCTGTTGGTTTGGGACAACATTTGTTGTTGGGCATTGTGCCCATTCTTTCCGTGCCCATTCCGGGCGTCTGAAATTATCCCAGTGCAACCCCACCTAGGAGTTGGAGCCTCTAGGAAAGCAGCATAAGCTAAGCTAAGCTAAGATAAGCTAAGATAGCTAAGCTAAACCACGCTAAGCTACGCTAAGATGAGATAAGCTAAGCTAGGCCAGGCTAAGCTAAGCTAAGTTAAGCTAAGCTAAGATGAGATAAGCTAAGCTAAGCAAAGCTAAGCTAAGCTCAGCTATGCTAGGCTAAGGTAAGGTAAGCTAAGCTAGGCTAGGCTAGGCTAAGCTAATCCAGGCTAGGCTCAGCTGAGCTGAGCTAGGCTAAGCTAAGCTAATAAAGGATTAGGCAAAGCTAAACTAAGATAAGCTGGGCTAAGCTAAGCTCAGCGTAGGCTGAGGTAAGGTAAGCAACGCTTAGCTAAGCTAAACTAAGATACGATGATATAAGTTATGCTAAGGTAAGCTAAGCTAAGCGAAGCTAGGCTAGGCTAAGCTAAGCCAATATGAGATAAGCTAAGCTAAGCTAAGCTAAGCTAAGCTAAGCTAAGCTAAGCTAGGCGGATGCCGGGGGAACCGCGGGGCGGACCCTGGGGGAACCGCCCGGGGCGAGCCCCACTGCCCGGCCCTTTAAGAGAACACAGTAAGAATCCTTCTAGGCAGAGCCTAGGTAGGGAAAGAAGAGTAAAACACATAGTTTGGGGACGATGTGTTTGGGTTCTGTGTGGTTCTTTTGGGGGCATGTGTTGTGACCGTGTTCCTTTTCCGTCCCCAAGCTCCGCCTATAGGAGGACATGCCGACTTATAAGCCTTCCAGCTTCTGCTGGAGACCTGTGGTCTTTTGTCATGGCGCCAGCATCGCAGAGCGGATTTGGCGCGGAAAATAAACGGATGGGCCCGGAGTGTATTTGAGAATTTCGTTCCGGATTTCGAGGTGGATTTCGTTCGGATTTCTGGCGGCCAGGAGTGAAGACTAAAACAATGCACGTGAAATTAACTTCGTTTTTCGCTCGCCGTTTCGGGGTTGTGCATTGACAGAATCCACGCAAGAATCCGCTGGAGCACGTCTGCAAGGTCGGTTCAGTGACTCTTGCGAAGCCTGCCCGCACGGGTTCCCCCAGCGCCAGGGTGTTGGACACCCCCGCTGAGGTTCACCCGAGCGACGCAACAAAAAAAACGGGGTCGTCTGCGCCGACATCGGCGCGCAAGCAGCCCGCGTAAGCTTGCGCGTGAGCGCCCTCGCTTCAAGCGTAGCGTGCCGCGCTGGCGGCCCGCGTCAGCCACCGCGTAAGGTCGCTGTGCCATCTCGCGTAAGACTCGTTCTTGATTGTCGCTCAGCCGGCTGTAGACATCCCTCGAGTTTGGAGCCCCAGCCTGCGTTTTTCCGAAATCTGCCCCGCACGGGTAGGCCTCGCATGTGGTTGCCTCGAGAGCCCTCCAGACACTGGCCTCTCTGGGCTGCCTTCTCCATCTAGAGGGCCTCGACTGGCAGATCCAAGCTCGGAGGTCCTGCAGGGCCATCCTGCAGCCCCTCCTGGGCACCTCGGGGGAGCTGCTCGCAGGCGCACCCGCCGCTCACCCCCATCGGCGACATCCGCGCCGCAGCCGCCGCCGCCGCGGCCTCGCCTCGGCCCCACGGCCGCGGCGCCGCCCCCCTGCCTGAGGCCGGGGCGGCAGGCCCGGCGCGCGCCGCGGCCCCCGGCGAGGCGCGGCGTGCGGCCGCTGGCACCGCCGCGCCCGCCGTCGCGGCGCCCGCGCCGGCGCGCCCGCCGCTCACGCCCATCGGGGACATCGCCGCGGCCGCGGCCGCCGCCGCCGCGGGCCGAGCACGGCCGCCGGAGGGCGGCGGCGCGGCGCCGGCGCTGCCGGAGGCCGCGGCAGCGGCCGAGGCTCCCGCTGCGGCGCGGGAGGAGGTGCGGAGGACGGCGTCGCGCACCGGCGCGCTGGCGGTGGAGGCCGCGGCGGCGGCCGAGGAGGCGGCCAGGAGGAGGGTCGCGGAGGCCGAGAGGCAGCGGCTGGCCGCCGAGGAGGCGGAGAGGGCCCGCCGGGAGGTGCCGAGGGCGCAGAGCAAGCGCTCCCACGGCGCGGGGCCGTCGCGCGCGGGCAGCGAAGACGCTGCAGCAAGGAACAGTCGGGGCTCCCCGGGGGCCACTGTTCCTCAGGCCCTTCCTGTGAGTGTTCCTCGAAGCGCTCCTCTTGCACCCAGGCGCCTGCGGGGTCAACGAGGAGCTTCTCTTCTTGGCTTTCCTCCCTGTAGCACCCTGGCTGCCAGCTGCCACGGGCCGTGCGGGAGGCCGCGCGAGAGCGCCCCTGCCCCCTTGCGGCGTGCCGCGCTGCTGGCTTCGTGCGCAGGCTACCGTGCTTCTCCGCCGCCGCAGGTGGAGGAGGCCGAGCGCGAGGCGCGGCGGCAGGAGGTGCTGCTGAGGGAGTCGCAAGACCAGGATCACCAAAGGGGTCATCTTCTTCCTCCTCCGCAGCCTCCGCCTCCTCCGCCTCCTTATCCTCCTCCGCCTCCTCCTCCTCCTCCTCCTCCTCCGCCTCCTCCTCCTCCTCACTACATCCCACCGCTTGTGGATGCCGGGGAACTCAGAGGAAACTCCTCCTCCTCCTCTTCCTCCTCCTCCTCCTCCTCCTCCTCCTCTTCCTCCTCGACATCTCGGGACCCTCAGCAGGCTTCAGGAACGTCAAAACGCGACTCAGAATAGAAATCGACGCAGAATGAAGAACAAGTCCCTGGAAGATGCCCAGACCTTCAGTTGTGAAAAACTACCACGTCGGATGTTTGAGAACGCTCTCGTGGCGCGCATGCATCATACCAGGGTCCAGGATAGCCCTGGCCAGGCACGGTGGTGGTGGGGTGTACTGGGAAGCTGGATGCAAATGACGCGTCCAGAATGAGCGAGAGCTGGATACACACGTTGACAGATGTTTGAATGTCCATCGTTAGGCCCTTCTGAGGCCGTGTACGCCAGCTTCAGTGTGCGTATTCAGCGCGTGGTTCCAGGATGTTGCGCACATAATTTCAGCCATGTGTGTGGGTGTGTGTTTCAGATTCCGGATGGCATATGAAATCGGTCAAGAAATGCCCGGAGGTGGGTCACGCAGCATTATTTTGGACGATGTTTGATACAGTCGTTTCCGGGCCTGCTCATGTGCAATGCTCGGATCGTCCTCTCCACAGCACTCCCCGCCGGTTGAAGACTAGTTGTTTCACATGTTTTTTTGTCCGCACGTTCTTTCCTTCACCGTCATCATGATTACATTAAGTAGATGTCTTCTCACCGCGCGCGTTTCACTACTCGCAAAGTGCCTACTCGCAAACGCCCGAAACACATGTCTCCGTCGACGTACTTATCGTAGATCCCCCGCGGCGGATCCAGGCCATTTGCGAGTAGTTACTTTGCGAGTCGTGGAACGCGTTCGTCCATCTTCAGCCGCCAGGAGTTCCAGCAGAGCCTGCTGATGGACCGGACCAAGGACCTCGTGGCGCGCGAGGGCGCGCTCCGCTCCGAGGCGGAGCTGCTCGCCTCGCGCGTCGACGGCGCCGGCAGGGACCTCAGGCTCGGCCGTCGTCGCCGCCGCGTTCGCCGCGGCGTTTGCACCTGCCGCCGTCGCACTCGACCTGCGCCGTGGCTCCCGCTGCCCTCGTCGTCGCTTCCGCAGGCGTCGCCTTCGCCATCGCTCTCGTCGTCGCCGCCCCCATGGTCGACAGCGTGGAGGATCCAGGTTTAAGTCGGGCTTGTCCCTCTACAGGAGGAATATCCAAACATGGTCAAAATAATAGTCTGGGGACTATTTTTTGATTATTTTTTTTGAGAGTATTTTTTTGAGCATTTTTCATTTCTCGTCGAAAATCCCCCTGTAGGGAGACACGCCCGACTTAAATCCAGGTTCGAGGGTCGGGGATGGAGGTGTTTGGAAGCTTGGTCGTCCTGTGGGCCCCCGGAGGTCTCCGCGGGTCGTCGGCGTCGCCGTCGTCCGAGGAACGCGGAGCAGCGCCTGGAGCGGTTCGGCGGGAATCCGCGCCTGGAAGAGGAGGCCTCCCGCGCCGCGGAGGAGCTCGCGGCGGCGCAGGCGCGAAGCGCCGAGGTGGCGGAGGAGCTCGCTGGTACCCTGAGGGCGTCAACTCAGATACTGGCAGTGCCGGTATTTGGCCCAGGATTGGTGAACATGTGTGTATGTATATTTGTGTATGTGTATGCGCAGTGTCATATTTTGATTAATTCCACAAACCGTGCTTGCACTTAGGGTCTCCTCTTCTGGTCTAATGAACTGGGCCTGGGTGTTGGTCCGGCGGCTATATCGTCACCGACGCCGCCCCGTCGCCGCTTCGTCGCCGCCTGTCGTATGGACCTGGGTGTTGGTGTGGCGGCTATGTCATCGCCGTCGCTGCCCCGTCGCCGCTTCGTCGCCAACCGTCATCTGGGCCTGGCTGTTGGTCTGGCGGCTATGGCTATGTCGTCACCGTCTCCGCCCCGCCGTCGCTGCCTCGTCGCCACATCGCTGGTTGCACAAAGATCGCACAATATAGAGTGCACACCATAGATTCTCCTTTCTAAAAAGAATAGGCTCTTCCATCCCCCCGGAATTAACGATCCACCTTCTCGTATTGCAATTTACATCTGATTCTGCCCCATCGACCATCCTAAATATGATTTCATTTTCTCCGAGCCAAATCGGTATCATTCCCCCCCGCCATCCTCTGCAAAAAATACTATGCGCGCACTCTCGTTTATCAAAAATCATGAGATTTCAAGAATCCCTTGCAACAAATGTGACGAAGTGCACACGCGCGCGTCGTCGCGCGCGCATGCCGAAATCTTCCAAAAACCTTCGGTTTCGGAAAGATTTCAAAACCGAGCTTCCAAACAGTCATGTAAAACATTAGGTTTCGCAACGCTGATTTGCTAAGAAAGCTTACGCGCGCGCTCTTGCGAAATCTTAAGAAAACCACATGTTTTCAACATTTTCAGACAAAACTACCAGACGGGCTTCGCGCGCGCATGTCGAAATCTTTCGAACTCCCTTGCCGCGTGCAGTCGCGAGAATATTGTGCCAAACATTGGACGAAGTGCAGACGCGCGCGTCGTCGCGCGCGCATGCCGAAATCCTTCAAAAACCTTTGATTTCGGAAGGATGGCAAAATCGTGTGTCCAAAAATCACACACACAAAGACACAAGGTTTTGCATAACGGATTTTCAACAAAAGCGTGCGCGCGCGCTCTTGCGTCGTCGTCGCCGTCGTCGTCGTCGCCGTCCTCCCTCCTCCCTCGGCGTCGTCGTCGTCGTCGTCGGCGTCGTCGTCGTCCTCTGTCTTTCCTGGTCGTCGTCGTCTTGGCGTCGTCGTCGTTTTCTTCGTCCTCTTCCCTCGAGGCCGTCCTCTTCCCTCGAGGTCATCGTCCGTCGTCGGCGTCTCGTCGTCGTCCCTCCTATTTCGTCGCCGTCGTCGTCGTCGTCGTCTTCCCTTCTCCCTCGTCGTTGTCGTCGTCGGCGTCGCCGTCCTCCCTCCTTCTTCGTCGTTTGCGTCGTCGCCGTCCTCCCTCCTCCCTCGTCGTTGTCGTCGCTGTCGCCGTGGTCGTCCCCCCTCCTCCCTCATCGTCGTCGTCTTCGATGGCGGCGTCGTCGTCGTCTTCATCGTCGTCGTCGGCGTCGTCGTCGTCCTCTGTCTTTCCTCGTCGTCGTCGTCTTGGCGTCGTCGTCGTTTCCGTCGTCGTTGTCGCCGTGGTCGTCCTTCCTCTTCCCTCGAGGGCGTCGTCCGTCGTCGGCGTCTCGTCGTCGTCCTTCCTATTTCGTCGCCGTCGTCGTCGTCGTCGTCGTTGTCGTTGTCGTCGTCGGCGTCGCCGTCCTCCCTCCTTCGTCGTTTGCGTCGTCGCCGTCCTCCCTCCTCCCTCGTCGTTGTCGTCGTTGTCGCCGTGGTCGTCCCCCCTCCTCCATCATCGTCGTCGTCTTCGCTGGCGGCGTCGTCGTCGTCTTCATCGTCGTCGTCGGCGTCGTCGTCGTCGTCGGCGTCGTCGTCGTCGGCGTTGTCATCGTCGTCGTCGGCGTCGTCGTCGTCGTCGGTGTCGTCGTCGTCGTCGTCGTTGTCGTCGTCGTCGAAGTCGTTGGAGACGTCGTCGGTGTCGTCGTAGTCGGTGTCGGCGGCGGCGTCGTCGTCGTTGTCGCTGTCGTCGTCGGCGTCGGTGTCGCTGCCAATTGCCATTTGGTACCTACCGTCACGGTCTTAAGAGGTATTGTGACCAAGTTGCGGATGGGAGGGTGGGATGTTTGCACGAGCAGTGGAGGGGACAGCTTCAAGACAGTCAAAGTGAATTGCACCACATAGTTTGCACCACGTCGATAGTTCAACATACATTGCACCACATATACTGCACGACATAGGTTTTCACACATACTGCACCACGTTGATTGCACCACAGATATTGCTCACCACATAGATCGCACCACACATATTTCACCACATGTATTGAACAGCGTCAGTTCTCATTTCTAGAGTAGTAGGATCTACCCCCTGCCCTCAAACTTATTGGTACACCTTTTCTTTTAGTGTTTCGTATATGATCCCGCACACCCGCTATCGCAAATGTGAGCCATACCATCCCTGGTACTCGCTCATCGACCCCCTCGCTCGCCCTCTGCAAAGTATACCGTGCGCGCACAAGAGCGCGCGCGTGCGTCGTCGTGCGCGCATGCCGGAGTCCCTTCAACGCTGAGGTCTTGCAAAGATGTGAACGTTGAGCGTCTCGGCAACTTATAAAACAAAACAATGTGTTCGCATCAAGAGCTAAAAAAAGCCTGCGTTCGCGCTCTTGCGAGTTCTATCACGAAGACCATCGGCTGTTCAACCTGTTCATCACATTCTACCACACGTGCCTCTCGCACGCGCGTGACGACATCATTTAAACACCCTTGCGCGCGTGCTGTCGCAAGAACCTGTTGCAACAAACGGGGCGAAGTGCACACGCGCGCGTCGTCGCGCACGCATTCTGAAATCCTCCAAAAACTCCGGGTCTCGCAAGCATTTCAAAATTGAGTGTCCCGGGGACATATGTTTTTATTGAACGACAATGTTATCGCAACCGGATTTGTTTCAAAAAACTTGCGCTCGCGCTTTTGCGACTTCTACGAAGAACACCATCGGCTGTTCAACCTGTTCAGCATATGCTACCAAGCGGGCCTCTCAAGCGCGCGTGCCGAAATCATTCGGGCGCCCATGCGCGCGCGCTGGGGGGGTCAGAATTCCTATCATAACACCTTTCGGGCCACTCGCGTGCGCCGGCCACGCACGCATGTCAGAATCAACTTCGGAACCTTCATCGCCGAAGCGAGGGTAACATCCGCGTCATCGGCATAGTCAGCATCGGCGCTGTCATTGCAACTCCCGTCGTCAATGTCATCATTGTCACCAGCATCGCTACTACCATCATCGTGCCTGCTTTCGTCGACATCGCCATGATACCGCGCCCGCCCGGGCCACCGACTCGCACTGACGTGCCCGCGCGTCAGCGCGGCCAGCGAGACTTGCTTTGAAACCCCCGGCGGTCTGGGCCACCGCGGCCACCTTTCCAGATTGAATCGTCCTTTTGAAATATGTACCCATGCCAGGCCCATGCCATCCCAGGCAGGCCAGCATCGGCTCTCCCCCTCGTCCTCTGCAAAGAAAATACCAAACAGCAGTTTCCACACTTCCCGAAGTGCACACGCGCGCGTCGTCGCTCGCGCATGCCGGAGTCCTTCGAAAGCCTTTTTTTCCGGCTTTGTAAAAATGTCCAAAGCGAGTGCCCCGAACATATATAAAGCATGATAGGCTTCCCAGCAATAGCTGTCAAACGAAACAGTTTGCGCTTGCGCTTTTGCAACTTTTCAACGAAAAGCCATGGCGTGTTCAACGCCTTCATCAAGTGCTACCAAAAGTGCCTCTCGCGCGCATGTCGAAATCGCTCCAATGCTCTTGCGCGCGTGCTGTCGCGCAAATCCCTTGCAAAAGACGGGACGGAGTGCACGCTCGCTCGTCGTCGCGCGCGCATGCGGGAATCTTTCAACAAACCTTGAGTTCCGAAGGGGAATTCAAAATCGAATGCCCCGGAACCATCATCATGTACATATGGTTGTCCGACATTGTTGTCACAAAAATGCGCGCTTATGGGGACCATTGGTTTTTCAACGTTGTGATCTAGTTTTGCCAAACGGGCCTCTCGCGCCGCATGTCAAAATCATTCGAAATCCCTTGCAATGCGCGCGTGCTGGAGGGAGGGGCACGATCCGTGTCAAATAATTCCATGCGGGCCACTCTCGCGCGTCGGCCGCGCGCGCGTGCCGAACTCCTTCCAAAACTTTACTCACCGACGCGAGGGCGCCGTCATCGTCGTCGGCGTGATCAGCATTGGCGCCGTCACTGGCCTTGCCGTCGCCGCTGCCATCATCGCCACCAGCATCGCACCGCTACTACCAGCATCGCATCCACCGTTGCCGACGTTGCCTTTATACCGCGTCCGCCCAAGCCGCAGACTCGCACTGAAATGCCCATTGGGGGATTGCACAGCGGTGAGCGCCGCCATGGCCGCGACAGTAGCGCCTAGCTGGCCGCTGTGCGCACGAGCATTTGCGGGCTAGCACGGCCGCAGGGACGCACCAGCCAACACGAAGCACTCATCGAATCGCCGCCGCATGGGCTTTGCAAACCAAGCTGCGGGTTGGTGGGTGGGATGCTTGCGCGAGCAGTGGAGCTGACAGCTTCAAGTTCGGCAGAGCTAATGTGCGACATATTGGTTGCACCACGCAGATTGGGCAGCGCACGTTGTATATTGCATCGGTAACCGCATGATCTTGTCTACCGTTGCCGGCGTCGCCATGATACCGCGTCCGCCCAAGTCGCCGAGTAGCACCGAAGTGCCCGCTGGGAAGTGTCCAGCGGTCAGCGCCTCCGCGGCCGCGTCGGTCACGCCAAACTGGCTGGCCGCTGTGCGCGCGAGCGTGCGCGGGCTAGCGCGGTCGCAGAGATGCACCAGCCAACGCCAAACATTCATCTCAATCGCCGCCGCATTGGTTTTGCAAACCAAGTTGCGGGCGGGTGGGTGGGTAGGACGGTTGCAAGGGCATGGGCTGTGTCAACTCATTTGTAAACTCCAACTGCACCGCGCAACTTGCACCGCGCATGTTGCACAGCTTCGACTGCACAACACGCATCGCCTCACAGAGATCGCACCACATAGACAAACGTCGTGCCACATAGACTGCGGCACACGGCATATGTTGCCCAACGTTTATCGCCCAGTGGATAAAAAACACAGCGTGTGGGGTCCACGCTGGGAAGCACAGCCACATTGCATACATATGTAACTGTATAGTTATATGTTAATGCGCGCGTGCGTCTAGATGTGTGCCCGCATGCGCGTATTTATTCTCAACCCTCCTTGGTTGGGTATTCGTTTTGAATAGGGCACCGCGGTCGCATCCTTCCCCTGTTTCTCCCGCCTCCCGTCTCCCGCTTCCGTCTTGTCTCCTGTTGTCTTGTGCGTACCTCGTGTGTGTGTGTGTGTGGGTGTGCGCCGCCCCAGGGGCCTGGGGTAGACCTCGCCGTCCCTGGGGGGCTGCGATCTGCGAAGCCGTCGCACCTTGCGAGGGCTGCTGGTGGGTCCAGCGGAGTGAGGCACCGCGCAGACCTGAGCGAGACCTCGCCGTTCCTGGGGGGCTGCGATCTGCGACACTGTCGCCACTGTCGAGAGCTGCTGGTGGGTCCAGCGGAGCGAGGCACCGCGCAGACCTGAGGTAGACCTCGCCGTCCCTGGGGGGCTGCGATCTGCGACACTGTCGCCACTTTCGAGGGTTGCTGGTGGGTCCAGTGGAGTGAGGCACCGCGCAGACCTGAGCCAGACCTCGCCGTCCCTGGGGGGCTGCGATCTGCGACACTGTCGCCACTGTCGAGAGCTGCTGGTGGGTCCAGCGGAGTGAGGCACCGCGCAGACCTGAGCGAGACCTCGCCGTCCCTGGGGGCTGCGATCTGCGACACTGTCGCCACTTTCGAGGGCTGCTGGTGGGTCCAGCGGAGTGAGGCACCGCGCAGACCTGAGGTAGACCTCGCCGTCTCTGGGGGGCTGCGATCTGCGACACTGTCGCCACTGTCGAGGGCTGCTGGTGGGTCCAGCGGAGTGAGGCACCGCGGAGACCTGAGCGAGACCTCGCCGTCCCTGGGGGGCTGCGATCTGCGACACTGTCGCCACTGTCGAGGGCTGCTGGTGGGTCCAGCGGAGTGAGGCACCGCGCAGACCTGAGGTAGACCTCGCCGTCCCTGGGGGGCTGCGATCTGCTAAACCGTCGCCACTTTCGAGGGTTGCTGGTGGGTCCAGCGGAGTGAGGCACCGCGGAGACCTGAGCGAGACCTCGCCGTTCCTGGGGGGCTGCGATCTGCGACACCGTCGCCACTGTCGAGGGCTGCTGGTGGGCTCGCCACTTTCGAAGGCTGCTGGCGGGTCCAGCGGAGTGAGGCACTGCGCAGACCTGAGCGGGACCTCGCCGGTCCTTGGCGGCCTTGTCATGTTGTTGCTGCCCCGCCGACGTTTCAAGCCCATTGCCTAAAGTCTTCTTTTGGACCTTGCGTCTTCCTTAATTACTCAGGGGTTCACTCGGCTACTCATCGTTTTTCCCTTGATTGGGAATCTGCGAACCTTCCGACTGCCGCTTGCAGAAGTATATGTGTCCATGTCACGTCGCCGCCTTCTCGTCAAACCTCCAAAGCTACTCCTGCCCCGCATTGCGCAGGGGTTGGGTACGTCGCCAGGGTATTTGTTGTTCAAATGTGTGTATGTATGTGTATATATATATATAGATTCAAGTATTCATCCCGATCCTGGGCCAGGCCCCGCCGTGGCCATGCCAGCATCGGTGTATGGGTATACGTATATAGACTGTGCCCTCTTAGGTGTGTCCGCGGAGATCGCGAACAACAACGAGATCATCGGCACGCTGCTCGCCGTCGACTGATGCCGTGGCCTGCTCCCAATTTTCCTGCTTCCGGCTCCTTCATGCGGCAAGCAAAAAACTAGCCAGGCCTTTCGTTTCGGCAGGTGGTCGCACGTTTCGGCGGATTCGGTTGCAGGTGTGCTGGCGGAGTCATCGTCGTGGTCGGCATCGCGATCGTTGGCGGCGTTATGGTAAGGGGAGGTTATCGTTACCGTTGTCGTCGGCGTGGTGGGCGGCGTGGTCGTAGTCGGTGTCTTTGGCGTCGTCGGTGTCGGCGTCGTGCGTGGTGGTCTGCTTGGTGGTCGGCGTGGTCGTCGCCAGCGTACTGGCGTAAGTTCCGATATCCGAGCCAACTCTGGAAAGCAAGCGTAATTAGTTAAGATTGGTCATGCGATGTACTGGGCTTGTCGTGGATGATGGACAAGACGAGCGGAGGTGGCATTCAAGTCTCATACTTCGCGGTGGAACCGTTGTTACAACTGCGGCGTTTCCCACATGCGGCCAAAGGAGAAGAAAGACGTAGCTCTTGAACAAAGGGCTCGACGTGTTAACCCTCTCACTGGCCCAAGCATTTGTCAGAGATCCCGCGTTCAATGTCTTAGGCGATTGTTTCTTGATTTTCCTATCCTGGTATGTGCGCAATTCGGAAAATCACGCCTGTAGTAACAAGAAGGGGACTACACATGGACTTTCAGCGGTCCGTGCTCTTTGCGGCGCCCGGGGCGCTGCCAGAGGTGCCCCAGCGCCCACCCTAGGAAATCCGCGTGGACGTCCTAAAGTCCACGTTTGTACAGTTTTTGTCGCTTCCCTGAAAAGGAAGTCACGCTGCCCCCCCCCGGCCCCCCCCCCGTTAGTGGCCATTTTGGCGTAAGCCGCCGAGGCTCGAAGCCAGAGGTCTTCCGACACGTGTCATAGAGCCAGACGGGGCACCACGAAGCTGCGCAGGCACTGCCCGCGAGCTCTCTCGTTTCTCCGTGCTCCCCTCCAGCCGACCCCCCCCCCCCCTTTACCGGCAAAGTTCCATTGCAGAGCAGCGTGAGGTGAGTTTCGGCGCTCCGGCGCCCCCGCTGCGCTCTCAGAGGGCCGCGCTCAGGCGCGAACTGCGGCGTCCGTCCATCCGTCCAGCCGACCCCCCCCCCCCTTCCCCCCCGAGCCGAGCGCAGGTGGCTGCGCGGGCTGGCGAGCGCCCCCAATGTCCAGCGCAACGCCGCGGCCGCCGATGGCGCGGGCACCGAGGGTCGGCGGATCGACACGACGACGACATCAATGACGACGACGACGACGATGACGACGACGACGACGACGACGACGACGACGACGACGACGACGACGACGAGGACGACGACGACGACGACGACGACGACGACGACGACCCAGACCCAGACCCAGACCTCCAACGTCTCGAAAAATAGAGACGGAGGATCTTGCGCCTTTTTCGAAGGGCAGAGGGCGGGTTTCGGGCCCCGAAGCCCTCAAACACGATCCTTGTCGAAAAGCTGGCGCTGCAGGGAAGCTGTCAAGAGGTCTGGGGGACCCTTGTGCAGAACATCCAAGGAGGCTGCGACGCCTGAGGCGGCGTCGGTGCTGCCACGCCTGAGGCGGCGTCGGTGTTGCCTCAACCTCTGGTTTCTGGGGGGGGGCCCGTTTCGGGCCACTAGGGCGTGCAGTGGCCGGTCCGATGCAGCTCCCCCGGGTGGACCCATTGAGGGGTCTGGGGGCCGATCGCGAGCGGATTTGACAGCGCCGGCGGCGGTGGCATCGGCGACGGCGACGGTGGCGGCGGCGACGACACAGCCACCTTGCCGAGATCCATCGCCGAGGGAGCACGGACTGGTGAACCCTCCTCCTCTTCTGTTTTTTCTTCCTCCCCTTCTTCTCGTTTCCCCTTTTCACATTGTTGTTCCCTGTCCTCCCCCTCTGTGCTTCTCCTCACCCTCTTCCCTCTCCATGTATTTCTCTTCCTTGATGTCCCAGACAGTGCTTGCACTTAGGGGTTCCTCCCTCTGTACTAAGGAACTGGGCTTGAAGGTCGGCCTGGCGGCTATGTATTCGCCGTCGCCGCCTCGTCGCCGCCCGTCGTCTGGTCCTGGTTGTTGGTCTGGCAGCTACGTCGTCGCCGTCTCCGCCTCGTCGCCGCATATAGATCTGGGCCTGACCGTCGGTCTGGCGGCTATGACGCCGCCGTCGCCGCCCTGTCGCCGCCTCGTCCCCGTCGGCGGTCTGGGCATGACGGTCGGTCTGGCGGCTATGCTGTCGTCGTCACCGCCTCGTCGCCGCCGGTGGTCTGGGCCTGGCGGTCGGTCTGGCGGCTTTGCTGTCGCCGTCGCCGCCCCGTCGCCGCCTCGTCGCGGCCTCGCATGGTTGTAGCTCATAGGTTGCACCACACGGAGAGTGCAGAGCATAGTTCGCAACACCGAGATTGCACAGCATAGATCCATACGCCTGGATTGCACAGCATCGATCGCACAACGGACACTGTATCACATATATCGCACCGCATTTATATATACGCATTTATATATATATGTATATATGTCTACCTAAACGTATATATGCATATAGATATATCGTTATATATGTATATATATATATATGCATACACAACCATCTTGCACAATCAATAGTGCATCACATAGATTGCATCACATCGGTTGCACCACGCATCTTGCACAACATAGATCGCGTGACATAGATTGCATAGCACCTCCTATGTTGCACGATCTGGATCGCACGCCATAGAATGCACACCATATATTGGACGGCACAGATCGCGTCACATATATATATATATATATACACATATATGTATATATGTACACGTAGTAGCGTTACATCGATCGCACCGCGTTTCTACACCGTATAAGTTACATCACATACATTGCCCCACGTAGATGACACAACATCGATTGCTAGAAGTACCATGCTTGGGGCACACGATGGCTAACATGTTTTATTGCTCCTCATCTTCACCCTCGTTATCGATCCTTCTCTTCTCTACTTCGCCACCTTGCCCATCCTGCCGCCTCTTCGGTCTCCCGTGTTCTTCCTTTTTCGACATTCGCCTCTTTGGTTTAATGTTCTCCCTTGTGTTCTTCGTTATCCTCCGTCCTCCATCGCCTCAGCACTCTCCTTTTTATCTGCTCCTCCTCCACCCGCATCGACCATCGGTGCCTTGAGCCTCTTGGTGCTCCGTCGCATTGTTGAAAGAATCCGCCACCTCCTGGCTGCGAAGCTCAGCGGCGATGTGCGACGACTTGAAGCTGGCAGCAGGGCGACCACGGGGGAGCTTTGACCGCATCTCCTTTTCCCTTCGCTGTTCCCTCCATTCCCTCCCTGAACCTTCGTCTCAGGGCTCTTTGGGGCCTCTTGGGGCGGGAGGGGGAAGTAGTCGATTGCGGCTCCCCCCCCGGAGGTCACGAGGGGTGTCGAAAGATGGCCCCCCTTCTGGGGCGTTCTGGGGGGATCGCCCAGGAGTGGCCCCGGAGTGGACCGGGACCTGGCGGGGGTACTTTTCGTCCGGGGGCCCCCAGGGGCCGCCCCACGCGCGCGAATTAGAAATATTGTTAACCAGTTACTGGAGATCTTAGCACGCTTCTGGCCCGTTGGGCCGGCGAATATATTTATATATTATATATACACATACATATGTGTGTGGGTCCTCGGGCCCCTTGATCATCATCCTCCTCGACTTCCTCTTCTCCCCCAGGGGTATTTTCGAGAGCGTGAAGCTCTCTGGGGCCACCGAGCGGTGCAATGACTACACCGCCTGGTAAGTCGGTCGGGATTCGTGGTCGCCGCACGATTTTCGGACTTTGGTCGTTCTCCGAGGACGTCGCGCGCGACTGGGGCCTCCAGGGCCCCAAAACCTCTTGGGGACGGATCGCGCGGTGAGGCCGTTGGGGGTTCCGAGGTCACCACGCGGCCCGTCACCGCGCGGTTCGCGCAGCGCGTAGCGCGAACACACAGTGGAGGCCGATGCCAGGAAACACCCTGCTTGCCTCCAGGGTGCCCTGGGTCTCTTGGGGTTCCGATGGTCTTGTGACGGGGGGCGCGACGTTGCCACGCCGAACATCGATGAATGTCCTGGGGTTCCAGGGTTGGGCTTATTGTGGAAGGTCTCTTTCAGGAGGGAAAAAGCACACACAGACACAATTCATCGTCCTTTCCCCCAGAAGTATGGGAAAAGATGGGAACGGGAATTGGGAGGGAAGACAAACACCCAGGAAAGATTGGAAAAATATGGGGAACCCTTTTACCTGTGTCTACTCATCTGTGTGTCACAAGGCCCCTTCCCTCTTGCTGTCGGGCCCCCACTGCAGCCAGCCTTTCTCATTGCTGCGACGCCCGGCCTCCCGGGGCGCCACCCCGCGCGCGTGCGCGACGCGCCGGCCTCGCGCCCGAAAGGTCAGCGCGGCATGCGCCACCTCGACCTGCCCGCCCCGCTCAGCCGCGCCCGCGGGGCGTCGACGACGTCGTCGTCGCCGATGCCGACGACGATGGCGCGGGCGAAAGCGACGACGTCGACCACGGCGGCGACGTCGAGGCCGACGGGTCGACGACGATCAGGGCGACGTCGACGACGACGGCGCGGCCTCGACGATGCGATCGCTGCCTGGCGCGGGCTGCGCGATCGCAATCGCCCGAATTGGGCCCCACGCCGCGCAATCCGCGCTCAATGCTTCATCGGGCTGAGTTCTTGGCCTGTTCCGCTGTCCTGGTGTGTTCCGGCATCATGGCCCTTCGAGCAGGCCTTTCAGTCCTCTCGCGGAGAATGAGGCGGGGATCTTTCATTCCCGCCGCCTGGGAGGAGGAGGAGGAGGAGGAGGAGGAGGAGGAGGAGGAGGAGGGGAGGAGGAGGGGGAGGAGGAGGAGGAGGAGGAGGAGGAGGAGGAGGAGGATGAGGAGAAGGAGGAGGAGAAGGATGAGGAGAAGGACCAGATGTGCCCACACCCACGACCTAAGCCGAGGTCCCCGACGGTCGACCCCTTCGGTAGCAAATCACGGGAGTCTGGCATGCCCTCTTCATTCCCGTCTTTCGCGTTGGCTAGCGTCGATTAGCGCCTGGGAGTGGATGAGACAGCGCCGAGTTACTGTCGGCTAGCGTCGACTGGCATCGACTTAGCGTCGATTAGCGTCGATTCAGCGTCGGTTCGTATTCTAAGCCGCTCGAGGCGCAAAGTTCTTATGCCCCAGCGCCTTACCTTGCTTTGGGGCATAAGAACTGATATGGCTGCTGATGTTCCTCTCCGCCACCTCAATTCCGCCGCAGTGGGGCTCGACGTTTCAGCGCTTTCGGTCCCGCGCCCGGTTGCGGCGACGCAAATGGCAGGACGACGACGACGTCGACGACGACGACGACGACGCTGACCACGACGACGACGACGAGAAAATCGAGGGTGGGGACGAGGACGACGGCGCGACGCGACCCGGCCAACCAACCTGACGAACCAGACGAACCAGACGAACCAGACCAGCCAGACCAACCAGACCAATCAGACCAGCCAGACCAAGCATACCAGCCAGAACCGAACGCGCCAGACTAACCGGGCCAACCAACCAAACCAATTAAAGGAAGTAGACGAAGCAGACCAGCCAGACCAAGCAGACCAGGCAGACCAATCAATGAGACCAGACCTGTAGACCAACCGATCAGGCCAGACAGACCAGACCAGACCAGCCAGACCAAACAGACCAGCCAGACAAGACCAGCTAGACCAGCTACACCAGCCAGACCAACCCCAACCAGACCAGCTTGACGGGCCGGACCAGCCAGACCAACCAACCAGACCAACAAGACCAGACCAGCCAGACTAACCAGACCAACCAAACGAAGCAGACCAGCCAGACCAACCAGACCAACCACACCAGCTAGACTAAGCAGACAGCAGAACAAGTAGACCAAGCAACCAGACCAGCTTGGCCAGTCGATCCGGTCAGGCAGACCAAACCAGACCAGACCAGCCAGACCAACCAGTCCATCCAGAGCAGACCAGACCAGCCAGACCAGCCAGACCAATCAACCAGACCAGACCACCCAGACGAACCCGACCAGCCAGACCAACGCGACAGACCAACCAGACCAACGAGACCAGCCAGAGCAGACCAGACAAGACCAACCAGACCAACGAGACCAACGAGAAAAAACATACCAGCCAGACCAAGCAGACCAGCTTGACCAGTCGATCCGGTCAGGCAGACCAAACCAGACCAGACCAGCCAGACCAACCAGTCCATCCAGAGCAGACCAGACCAGCCAGACCAGCCAGACCAATCAACCAGCCAGACCAATCAATGAGACCAACCAGACGAAACCAGCTAGACCAACGAGACCAACGAGCAAAAAAACAGCCAGACCAAGCAGACCAGCTAGACCAACCAGACCGACCAGACCAGCCAGACCAATTAGACCAGCCTGGCGAACCAGACCGATAAAGCAACCCGAACCAGACAAACCGAACCAATCGGACGTACCACACCAGACGAACCAGACCAACGAGGTGAACTACTCGACCAACCAGTCGACGCGAGACCAGCCAGACCAGACCAGACTAACACGACCAGAGTAACAAGACCAGGATCGAGGAGCGGCCGCGTTTTTTCTCGACCTGGGCCGTTGTGGAGTACAGCTAAGTAAGCTCCATCGCCGAGCAGCGCCGCGCTGGGGGTCCATGCGTGACCACGTACCCCCCCAGACGGCGCCAGTCTGGAATCGTCAGAGATGGTGATGCTCTTCCTCCTCCCCCTCCTTCTACCCAACGCCATGCCAACGCCAGCTAAAGCCTCAGCACCAGGCTCAGAGCAGACCAACCAGACCAGCCAGACCAGATGCAAAAAAAACTGCAATGCAAAAAAAACTGCAATGCAAAAAAAACTGCTTTTCGGTCGGAGTCGTTGGCGCTGCCTCCCTGGACCTCCCCTAAACCACTCTCGCCTGAATCCTAAGCTAAAGCCTCAGCACCAGGCTCAGACCAGACCAACCAGACCAGCCAGACCAGATGCAAAAAAAACTGCAATGCAAAAAAAACTGCAATGCAAAAAAAACTGCTTTTCGGTCGTCGTCGTTGAAGATGCATCCCTGGACCTCCCCTAAACCACTCTCGCCCGAATCCTAAGCTAAAGCTTCAGCACAAGGCTCCAACCAGACCAGCCAGACCAGATGCAAAAAAAACTGCAATGCAAAAAAAACTGCAATGCAAAAAAAACTGCTTTTCGGTCGTCGTCGTTGAAGATGCATCCCTGGACCTCCCCTAAACCACTCTCGCCCGAATCCTAAGCTAAAGCTTCAGCACAAGGCTCCAACCAGACCAGCCAGACCAGATGCAAAAAAAACTGCAATGCAAAAAAAACTGCAAAAAAAACTGCAATTCGGTCGTCGTAAAAATGCATTCCGGGACCTCCCCTAAACCACTCTCGCTTGAATCCTAAGCTAAAGCTTTAGCTAAAGCTTCAGCACCAGGCTCAAACCAGACCAGCCCGACAACTCCGACCAGATACAACTCCGACCAGCTTGTTCTTTGGAAGCTTGGCGTCCCGCCGTGCGCTACACGGCTAAGAACTTTATGAGCCGACACGATGGTGTGGGATGCTCCCATGAGTCGCCACCGAGGACCCCCCGAGGCGATGGTGATGGAGAGATCCCCGCGTCGCACCGGCTGCGCCTCACGCGCCACCAGCGGCCGAGGTCCTTCAACGTCCTCACGGACGAGAGCGCCAGAAGGCTGGCTGAGGCCGTGGCGGAGGGCGGCGCGCCCAACCTGAGGACGCTGAGCCTGGAGCAGACCTGCATCGAGGGCCCTCGGCGGCGACGACGACGACGACGACGACGACCTCACCCTCCCCCTTCCCCTCGTCCTCCACCCTCCCCCTCCTTCTCTTCCCCCTCCCCCCTCTCCTTCCTGCCCATCCCCCGCCTCCTCCCGATCCCCTCTCCCAGGCGGGCACGAGGATACAGGGAGAAGGGGGCGAGGGAGGAGGCGGAGCCGGCGGGAGGAGAGGGAAAGGAGGAGGATCCATCCCCCACCCTCGCCCGCGCGCGCGCCCCGGAGGGCGGGCCTTAGCCCGCTGGCCGCCGCCGCGCGCGGAGGGGCCCAGCCGCATGAGACAGCACGACATCATGATGATGCGAGACACAAACGTCAGCACGCGTGCGATGCTGCGCTGCGCTCCCCGACGATGGCGAACGGCGCTTGGGTGAGGCCCGACGCTCCGACACCCAGCTGCCGTAGGAACATGTACGGCACCGAGTGCGACGAGCACTACACGCGCGACGAGTACGACACCAAGTGCGACAAGTACGATACCAAATGCGACAGGGACAAGCAGCCCGTGGTGTTCACTAAACACATCGTCGTCCAGGGACCGTGGACGATTACAACTACCGCGCCTACAAAGGTTACGACCAGCACCATGGAATCGCCGACTACGACGCCTACTGTTTCCTCATGTCGGCACCAGGACCACTTGCTCAGCTACAAGGGCCGCGGGCTGAGCTACGGGGGCCACAAGCTGAGCTAGGGGAAACACCAGCTGAGACACCGGGGCCACCTCCTCAGCTACGATATCCTCCAAGTGACGTTCGAGGGCCACCAGCTGAGCTTCGAGAGTCTCCAGCGGAGCTTCCAGGGTCGCTGGCTGAGCTACGAGGGCCGCAGGCAGAGCTCACCACCTGAACTACGAGGACCACAGGCACGGCCATGAAGGCCACGAGCACAGCTACGAGGACCTCCCGCTGAGCCACGAGAGGACCACCAGCTGAGCTACGAGGGCCAGCGGCTGAGCTCCGAGAGCCACAGACTGAACTACGAGTGCCACAAGCAGGGCTCAAGGACAACAAGCTAGGCTACGGGAGTCGCTGGCGGAGTTGCCCAGACCACTTTCTGAGCCACTAGGGGGCTCCAGCAGGCCCACGAGGGCCAACAACCGAATTACGGGGACCACAAGCACGGCTACGAGGGCCACGAGCACGGCTAAGAGGCCCTCTAGCGGAGCCATGGGAAGCACCAGGAAAGGTACCAGGGCCACTTGTTGAGCTACAAGAACCACCAGCAAATCTACAAGCGCCACCGGCTGAGCTACGAAGACACTTGTATGCACGACGAAAGCCGCAAGCAGGCCAAGAGGACCACAAGCTGAGGTGCGAGAGCCACCTATAGGGCTACAGGCCAAGGGCTGAGCTACGAGGACCACAGGCTGAACTACGAAATCCACAAGCACTGCTACGATGTCCACCGGCCGAGCTACGGGATCAATTGGCAGAGCTACCCAGACCACGTGCTGAGCTACCAGAGCGTCCAACAGACTTACGAGGGCCGCCAGTTGAACTACGAGGACCACAAGTTCGAAGTCAATAGGCACAAGCAGGGTCACGAAGACCTCCAGCTGAGCTGCGACGGCCACTAGGAGGCCCCAGGCTTCAGCCCGACAGCGCTTGGCTGCAGCATGATGGCAGCGGGGGCCTGGCGCTCGCCCCCAGCGTGGCCGTGCGCCTCGTTGGCATGAAAGCGCGCCCGCTATTCAACGGGCGGGAATGTAGGCTCGGACCATGCGATGAGGCAGCCGGCCGGTGGGTCTTCGAGGCAGGGTCGGTGTCCTTCTGGTTCAGGAAAGCTTGCTTGGGACCCGTCGGTCTCATGACCAAGCATGCGCTCGGGCTGGCGTTTCAGCAGGCAGCTCACAAGCACAACTATCCCAGGATCCGATGCTCATCGACATGTTGCTTCACTGTGCGACCTGGCAGCCGCCGATTGGCAGCCAGGCGTAGCCGCTCACATACTTCGATATGGTCCTCGGTGTCGAGGTTGTTTTCGATATGGCCTACAGCCAGGTGGCGCCATAAGGCAGAAGGCGAGACTGGCCTGCCTGAAGCCAGAGAAGATTACGATTTACAGCGCTACGAACAAGCGTATTACATGCACATCGCAATATACAATATTGTACGCCTACATCACTTGAGCGCTGTAGGCGCCATTCACAGTTGTTGCGTGGCTGGGGCGCTCTTCGTGCCTCTTCCCGCTTCCTCTTTGATCAGCAGATGGTATCTCATGTTGTCCGCCGCCCCCCACTCCCCCCTTCTTCAACTAGAGGTAAGAGTGACCTTCTGGGGGAGTGACCGTTGGTGTGGGCCCCACGGGGTCACTCCGATGGTTGAGCGCGAAGCGGTATAGCAGCGGCCTGCGAACCCAGGCTTGGACACCCCGCGTCACCCGCTGAGCCGCGCACCGAAGGTCACTCTTGCGTGTAGCCGACTTCTGGAAGGCCCGAGCTCCGGCGCGGACTCGGAGCGCCTCCGCCCCGACGGCCATAGCGGGGACGGAAGGTTGATGAGACCCCGGAGGAGGCAATTCCCGCGCCACGGGGCGCGCAGGAAGTCATCATTTGCTCGCCCCCTCCCCCACACCCAGGAGCAGCATCATCACAAATCTGTATGAGGGTTTCAGAATCTTCTCCATGCAGTTCGACACCTCTTTTTCAAGCTCCGTCGGATTTTTCCTTGGTCAGTCGATTGGTTGGCTGGTCGGTGAAAGCGTTTACTGAGGATGGCAGGTTGGTTAAACGGTTGGTTGGCTGGCTTGTCGATTCGTCGGTTGGTTGATTTGATTGGCCAGCTGGTTGCCTGGTTGCCCTCTTGGTTGATTTCGAGGTCGGGGCATGTCTACTTTGTCCGATGCGTGGCAACGCCCGCGGGCGGACGCGCACAAATCCTTCCCTGCGCGCCACGTGGCACCGCCTCGCGGGCGGGAGCAAATACGATTCCACTCGGTTCACCACGTTGCAACACCTTTCCTGTCGTCTCGGCTGCTTCGCAGCTGCTTGCGCTGGGTCGGTCGCTGTGCCCGGTTGCTGCGACTCCGCGCCCAGGCTGTATTTGATTGACCGGCTTCTGTCGGCATCGCTTTCGCCACTTTGCGGGTTGCGTTGTTTTCTCTACGTTGGTGTTGCCGTGGGCGTTTCGGATGGGCTGCCAGTTGGAGCACTGCCAGCCCTCCCGCCAGGCCCAGATCCGCTCCAGAGCGGTCTCCCCCCTTGCTCGGGGTCCCGCAGAGCCTTTTTGTTCGACGCGGCTCCCGCCGTGGCGGCGGGGCCACCGAACGGCGCGAACGACGCCGGGGAACGCCGCCGTCGTTTCTTCTGGCCTTGGGACGGCTTTCGGACGATGGCCTGGGCCTCAGGTGGCCGTGCGGGGCACGGCGCTGGCATCCCCATGGCCGCTCGTGGCGAGGCCCATGCCACGGGAGCCGTCCCAGGGTCCGAAATCTTGCCGGAAACCGTCCTCGGGCCGTCCTCCAGGATGAGGCGGAGGAGGAGGAGGAGGAGGAGGAGGAGGAGGAGGAGGAGGAGGAGGAGGAGGATGGAGGAGGAGAAGGAGCGAGAAGGAGGAGCGAGGAGGAGGAGGAGAGGAGGAGGAGGAGGAGGAAGGAGGAGGAGCGAGGAGGAGCGAGGAGCGAGAAGGGAGGAGCGAGGAGAAGGGAGCGAGGAGGGAGGAGCGATGAGCGAGGACGACGAGGAGGAAACGGAGGAGGAGGAGGAGGAGGAGGAGGAGGAGGAGGAGGAGGAGGAGGAGGAGGAGGAGCGAGGAGCGAGGAGCGAGGAGCGAGGAGCGAGGAGCGAGGAGCGAGGAGCCAGGAGCGAGGAGCCAGGAGCGAGGAGCGAGGAGCCAGGAGCGAGGAGCGAGGAGCCAGGAGCGAGGAGCGAGGAGCCAGCAGCGAGGAGCGAGGAGCGAGGAGCGAGGAGCGATGAGCGAGGAGCGAGGAGGAGCTCCGACCTGGCCCACTGCCTCCGTCCCCGAGAGGCCCTGGCCGTGAAGCGCTGGAGGGCGCCATCCGCACCAGCCAGATGCGCGTGTGCCGCGCCGCCTGGGACGCGTGCAGGGCGTGCGAGGCAGCCTCGGGGTCTTCTGCTCTCCAGGCCTCCTCGCTCGGAGATTGAAAGAGCACCCGCCTTGCCTGGACGAGTCGCGAGTTGTCCTCGGTGGGGGCTCTCGAGGGGGTGCTGCGGTCGCGACTTGCACGGGCCGGGCTGCCCGCGGGGTCATGGCTCCGCTTTTTCACGAAAGGGTGTTTTGCTACAGGGCCTCTTGCGTTCCATCTCCGATCTGCTGCTGCCGAGGCTTCCCAGATGGGGTGAGCGTGGACCGAAGAAGAAACATCTGCGTGAACATAAGCTCTCGGAGGTCCCCGCGGATTCCTTGGGTATGTGCTCGACCCCATGGCGGCGCCTTCAGCGCCGCCCTGGCGCGACCCGCCTGTCTGGGAGGGGGGTCCAGTAGCGCGGCCTTCCGAAAATGTAGTATCATGCCGATTGAATTTGCCGCCTGGCAGGGGAGGATGTACGAATAGCAACCGAGGATCCGACAGAGAGACCGCAGCTCCAGCGCCTCCTCCAAGAATAGGCGAATGACGATGGAGGGGAGGGATGGGGGAGGATGGGCCAGATGGTCGGGCCGCATTCTACGTCGGCAATCTGGCGCGTTCTGGAGCATGTCTTTCTGATCCCGACGTCGCTGGTGCACCGGCGATGCATCGGCGACGCGTCGCGATCCCTGGCCCCCCATAATCATAGTCGGGAGGCCTCCATGTGCTGTTGGTCGTTGGCGCCACCGCCAGTCCCAGCGGCCCTCGGCGGGCGCAGACACCGGACGGGGCTAGGATGAGGACAACATCGTCCCAGAGCGTTCCGGAACGCTCTGAGAGCGTTCCGGAACGCTCTGGGAAGGCCGCGGCGCCCGAGGCATCTTCCAGAATTGCCAGATCTCAGAGATTCCCGATTCATCCTCACCCGAGTTTATTCTCGGCCTGGCTCCGTCTTGGGACCGTCCTCGCGAGGCCGCTCGGAGCGGTGCTCGTGTGCCGTCGCTGCTCGTCGCCACAGCTTCGAGGCTCGAGCGTTTTCTTGTGCGCCGTCTCCAGGTCGTCTCGGGTCCCGGGGGCGCGAAGAGTGGGCCCGTGGCGAGGAGCTGCCCAGGATCAAGCTTCGAGAACTACTCTCCCTTCTCTCGCATCCCTCCTCCTCCTCCTCCTCCTCCTCCTCCTCCTCCCCCTTTCCTTTCCAAATATCCGACGACGATGTGTTCTTTCACTCCAGGTGGTTTTCCTTCATTTCGGCCCCGGGAGGCTGTTTCTCGGGCCCCCCCCCCGGGTCATCAAGTACGGATCGGGGACGAATGCCTGCATTCTGCAGTGATGGCTGCCTGCAGTCACGGCATTCTGAGTGTCCAGCGAGTGGCGTCGACTGGTCTCTCCATATGGCACATGCTGGCGGAGCGCTTACCCTGTACACACAGACGCAGAGCGAGATCGACAGAGAGGGAAAGAGAGAGAGAGGGGGAGAGCGAGATAACGAGAGCGGCACATACACACGTCATACATTCCCCAATTAGAGCTTGCCTCTGTAGGGGTCCTAGCGGATTCATATGGTTAGGTCAGGTTTGCCGCCGATTTTCGCCGCACGCCCGGGTGCCCGGGTGCCCGTGGGTGCCTGGGTACCCGGGGGTGCCCGGGTGCCCTGGCGTGCCCGGGGGTGCCCGGGTGCCCGGGGGTGCGCTATAGCCCAATAGCCTTATAGCCCTATAGCCCTGCAGCTTTATAGCTCTATAGCCCTATAGCCCTATAGCTCAATAGCCTTATAGCCCTATAGCCGTATAGCCCTATAGCTCTATAGCCCTATATCCCTATAGCCCTATAGCCCTGTAGCCCTATAGCCCTGTAGCCCTGTATCTCTATTACCCTATAGCCCAATAGCCCTGTAGCCCATATAGCCCTATAGCCCTACAGCCCTGAAAATCTTATCATTGGGTTTTCTCTCCGGTATCATATATACATATGTCTATGCAGATAGATACACCCACAGCTGTGTATATGATGTGTGCACAGAGAGAGAGATGGACAAAAAAAAACAGAGAGAGAGAGAGGCAGGCAGACAGAGAGGCAGTGACAGAAATAACCCACACACACATGTGGGAGGTGGGTCCCGGTGGTCCAGCGCCGACCCAATGAGCCTGCCCGGCTTCCCGCAGCGCATGCTCCTCTCCGCTGTGGTGCTCGCTGCGACGTGAGGCAGGCGCGTCCTGTCAGAGAGAGCGCGCGAGAGAGAGAGAGAGAGAGACGCCACGGCATCGCCAGGAGGCCGAGCGGCAGCCTGGCGCGCCCGGTGCGGGGCTGCGGCTGTGGGCGCTCCCGCAGCCCCTGCTGGTGCGGGGCGTGGAGCTCGAGAGGCGCCAGCGGACGCCTCCGCCCATCAGCGTCTGGTCATCGAGCAGAAAAGAACCCCGACTACGAGTTTGTTAATAAGCGTCGGGGGGGCGTCACCCCCGCCGACAACCCCACATCGACCCCCGTCGCGGGCAGCCACCGCTCCGGCCCCCGTCGCGGCGCGACGACGAGGCGAGGTTGACCCCCGTCTGGGGGGTACCCCCCCACGCTTATCAAGAAACCCAGAGTAACCTGAATAACACGATGAAGACGTGGCCTTACTGAGGTCCCCGTCTTCGCATTAGGGGCAATAATGCTGGGCGGTTTGGTCTGATACCGCTGGATAAGGTCCTCCCAACTTAGGTCCTCTCCAGGAGGGTTAGGGGTGCTTTTATGCCTGTGGGGGTCAGCGCTGAAGGGGGTCAGTCCATCCCCTTGGGTTGACGCGGGTTTGGGGGCCACGTGGGGCCGATGCCCCAGCTAAGCCCTCCTTGCTGGCCCGTGGCCGGGATCTGGGAGCTATACTTCGTGGCCCAGGCCGGGCTTCGCGGTGGGGCCCTGGCCGACCCGTCCTTCCTCGACCTTGCGGAGGGCTTCCCCTTTAGTGTTCCCCTGGGGGGGGTGGGGGTACCCCCCCCGGACATGGCCCCGGCCACGCGACGAATGCCGGCAGAAGCCCGGCGGAAGACGGCGGAAGACGTCTTCTGTTGCTGCCAGCCCGCCAACGTCACACCAACGGGGCGCTTCGACAGCGGCCTCGTCTTCGAGGAGCCGGCTGCTCGATTGGCATCTCGCCTTCGGCGGGGGCCGGCGGAGGCCGGCGGACGTGGGACGGGAGGGTGTCGCCGACGGGAGCCAGCGGGAGTCGGGGGGGAAGCGGGCAGAAGTACAGGCTTGGCCAACGCTCATTCATAGCACTCGCAGCCAACCGCCGAGCACGCATAGCAGAACGGCAACCGCCAAACGTTTCATGCTCCACCCAGCATCCAGGGCCTAGGCGAAGTGGAAACGGAGTCCATGATGAGGATGGGATCGTACGGATGCTGATGCGGATGAATCTCAGGATAAGGGGCAGTGGTTGACTGTAAAGGCGTCGTTGCGACTACTTGGGGCTAGGGGTGGAGGAGGATGAGCTGGAGTTGTAGTTGGATGAGTTGAATCATGGCTTGGAGGAGGCAGATGCAGGATGAGAACAATGATGATGAGGATGGAACGGGGGAGATAAGAAGGACATCAGCAATGCCAGGATACTTACATCAGCGGTGCCAAAATACAGCGTAACCTTCCGTCGAATGTTCCTTTTCAGAAGTCTCCACGGCATGACGCACAAACTACGGGGATCGCCACGTTGCCAGATTGAGCTGCCCATTGGCCTGCCATTTGGGCAGGAAGCCCGCTTCGAGAAGGAACCGCTTTACATCCTTGCAGCTGTACGAATCACGACGTGGTAGGTTCAGCAAATTTGAGCGTTATCGATAATAGATAGAACAGCGGACTCGAGGTTTCTCCTCCGCCTCTTCCCTTTCGCCAGGAGCCGTCGCATTGCCTTCAGAACCGTGGTGTTGTACACTTCGGCTGCACCCCTTCACTTTGGAGGGGAGCCGCCCAGCAAGCCTGGAAGCCTTCCAAAACCACCACCACGTTTTGAAACACGCTGTACTTGCTTTCACTTCTCCTCTTCGCCCCCTCTTCGAACATGGGACGTTCCAAGAAGGGCAATGCCTTCGAGGATCGACGGAGTTGTCATCTCTTCCGCGGCGGAAAGGCGGCAGAAGGGCGGCGAAAGGTCGGCGGAAGTAAAACGAGGCCGCCTCTGCCGGCGGAAGCCGGCGGAAGCTCGGCGGAGGGCAGCGGCCGCTCTCGTTGTGTCATCCCCTCAGGGGAGGGGGTGCTCGAGCGTGGGACCGTAGGGTTCTACGTCCGCACCCGCTCCTCCGGCCCCCTATCTCGTGCTCTAGGTGACTACGAGGTTGCGCCGTGTCTGCGGTAGGTTTTTCGCTGGGCCCACCGCCAAACATCCGATGGGGCGTTAGAGGGTGTTGCGTTGGTAAAAAAGGGAAGCTCGGCGGAGGGCAGCGGAAGTAAAAGAGAGGCCCCCAAGATATGAAAACGCTTTTGGGTTGATGGTTTCCGACGTCGGGAGGAGGGAGGAGGGAGGAGGGAGGAGGGAGGAGGGAACTTGGTGACCCCTGGACCTCTCCTGGAGAGGGTCCTCAGTGTCGGGGGCCTGGCGGTCGACACCGACACCGCCACCGGCGGTGTGCCTCCACCGAGGGAAGAAGATCCCGATCTCGGTGATGTCAGGAGGAGAAGAAACACACAGACACAATTAATCCTCGACTCCCCAGAAAATATGGGAAAATATGGGAATTGGGGGGGGGAAGACAGAAACCCAGAACATATGGGAAGATACGGGGAATCTTTTTATTTGTGTGTATTTATGTGTGTGTCCCAGCGCCCCTTCAGTGATGGTGGTGATCTTCTGGCTTCGAGGTGACCGAAAGATTGCCACCAGCGCCGAAGTCGAGGATCGCCTTCCCCCCTGTGGATCGGGGGAGCGTAAGACCCGGGTTTGCCAGGACTCGGGTTCGCCATCGTGTTTTGACGACCGCGCCTCGGATTTTGACGAGGAGGAGTTTCGTGGGATGTCTGCAGCGGGAGGCCTCGTCAAAATGCAGGCTCGGCCTCGTCATTTTTTTGACGACCTCGTCGGGGATTTCCGAGTCCCCTGTACCCAGGTCTTACGTCCCCCTGAGTGGAGGCAGCCCCCCTGGTGTCGGTGCCGATGCCCATGTTGCCGGCCTCCAGCGGGGGGGTTCTTCGCAGCGAGCCCGGCCGTGGCGAGGGGGGCCCCCCGCGCGGTGATACCAAAGCGGCTTCCCCGCGGCCCCCCCTCCTCCTCCCCCCCCCCCCCTCCCCCACCTCCACGTCCTCCTCCTCCTTCCTCCTCCTCCTCCTCCTCCTCCTCCTCCTCTCCCTCCTCCTCCTCCTCCTCCTCCTCCTCCTCCTCCTCCGCCTCCGCCTCCTCCTCCCCCCCCTCCTCCTCCTCCTCCTCCTCCGAGCTGGAAGGGTCAGGAGGGGAACAAAAACATTCAGACGCAAGGAAGCGTCGGTTCCCCAGAAAGTATACGGGAAGATATGGGATGTGGGGGGGAGACAAAAAAAAACAGAAAGTATGGGAAGCCATGGGGGATCCTGTTATGTGTGTCTAGTTATTTGTGTGTGTCCCCGGGCCCCTTGAGAAAGGGTGCCTTCGGTAGCAAGTCACGGGAGTCTGGCACACTCTCCCAATTCAGGTTTTAGCGTCGGCCAGCGTCGATTATCGTCGGGGATCGAGGAGATAGCGCCGAATCGGCGTCGGTTAGCGTCGACTAGCGTCGATATAGCGTCGATGAGTGTCGATTCGCAGGAGTCGGCAAGGTGGTATGGGAGGCTTCCTGGAGTTGCCACCGAAGGTTCCTTGAGCAGCCCCCTGTAGCTCTTCACTCCTTGAGGCCGACTGGGCGCAGCGCGTCCTGCAACCATGCCGAGAGGAGGAGGAGGAGGAGGAGGAGGAGGAGGAGGAGGAGGAGGAGGAGGAGGAGGAGGACGAGCAGGAGGAGGAGGAGGAGCAGGAGCAGGAGGGGAAGTAAGATCAGGGAGACGGGAGGAGGGAGGAGAGAGAAGGGAGGGTCGATCGATCGAACGTCGGCATGGGCGTCTGGCCGTGCTCGTGTTCTGGGGGGGAGGAGGGAGGAGGGAGGAGGGGGGTTTGCGGAAGAGGAGGGAGGAGGGAGGAGGGAGGCGGCGGGAGGAGGAGGAGGAGGAGGAGGAGGAGGAGGAGGAGCCTGGAACTGGAGGAGGGAGGAGGGGGGAGGGGGAGGAGGAGGAGGAGGAGGAGGAGGAGGAGGAGGAGGAGGAGGAGGAGGAGGAGGAGGAGGAGGAGGAGGAGGCGAGCAGCCTGCAGGAGTTCTCCGAGAAAACCTTGGAAACATGAAACCCCTAGCCACTTAAGGCGGGAGGGGGAGGCGAAGCCTCAGAAAGTAATGCCGAAATATTTCAGGCGCGGGGGGGCAGCGGGGCCCCCGTCTTGGGGTGAAAGCCCCGCTCCACCAGGTCGGCCTTCCTCTTCTGGTTGGCCCTGGTGGCGGGATTGGAAGACGGCCCCACACACTTCGAATTCAGATTCGAGCGTCCGCTCCACCCCTCCTCCCCCGACGACGAGGCTCCACACTGGGTGCAGCAGACCATGGCCCCGTGGGTGACTAAAACGTGTTTTAGCTCCCTGAAAGCCTCGAGCCCGTCTGGTGGCTCCCCTGGCGGCGCAGGCACGGACCCCAGGACCTCCTGAGCCGCCGCCAGGGCCTCGGACACGCACGGACCCGTAACAGGACCCCTGAAATCGTGGACCACCAGACCAGGCTTCGAGAAAAAACACCGCGCAGCCCACGCCTGGGTGGGCAGCGGTTTACATTTGCCATTCAAAGGATGGGCGAGGTGCCCGTCAGTGCGGGCAACACACAAACATCTGCGGCACCGAACCTCCATCGTCGGCTCGACGCGAACAAGGTCGTGCAACACTAGCTTGATAACACGCGGCCCGACTGCACGGGGACGCCGGGGAACGGCCCCGGGCGGATCGTGCCAGAGGTCGAGATCGACCGCTCGGCTTGCCGCTCAAGAGACAAACTTCAGGATCGCCTTGGCACGCTGGAGCTCCGACGAGAGGTACTCCGCGTGGACAGACGACACGGCATGCGCTGACGCCCCGAGCTTGGCGAACCAGTCGGCCCACAGATTCCCCACCCACCACCTGAGAGAGATACCAAGGGAGAGGGCCTCCTCGGGGCTCTTGTGGGCTGGGACCCAGCTAAATCTAGGGGGCTCTCTGGAACCTCCCGCCCCGAACATGAGCCTCCAAATCCGGGCATGCTTGCCTCTGGAGCTCTCGAGGGCGGGGTCCCAGGACGAGCCCTCAGACACCAAACTGAACAGATCACTCACTATGTGCTGGGTGGCTGGCGCATGTTGGACGAGACGCAGCACTGACCACCTATCTGCTCTGCCGACAGTCTGGATGCCTGGGAGAGGACCGTACATCGCGCGAGCTGGCAACAAGTCTTCATCGATCTGGACAGCAGACCACCCGCAGCGCGTTAATTCAGGTTGTGCCGACTCGAGGCCCGAGCCATCAGTACACGACTCAGGGCCCCACGCAGCAGCCTCGGCATCGCCCCAGAAGAAGGTCGGGAGCTCGTTCTCCGCAGCCTTCACCGTGAACGCGTCGGGGCGCACGGGAGACCGTACCCGCATTCCAGGTCGTCAAAGTGGCACGTCGAGCCGAGCTCTGCCAGCATGGCTCTCGTGGCCCCGAGGGCCTCAGGCAGCGGGGGGAGAGAACTCCCAGGCGGCACCTCCAGCAGCTTCGGGCAGCCCAGCCAGATGTGCCCGTAGTTGCCGTACTCGGCCCCGCACGCCCGGCAATGCAGCTTGCTGTAGCCGTCCGCTGCTGCCCGCCTCTCAGGAGTCAGGTAGCGGCCAGACCACAGCATCTGCAGCGCGCCCAGCTGCCTCGGCGGCAGCGCCCGCAAGCCTAGGCGAATGCATCGGACCCACACCTGCTCGGTGCCCGAGGCCAGGTGCATGTGCCCAAGCAGCCTCTGCGCCTGCCACCGCTCGATGGATCTCATCAAATGGTGGCGTAGGTCCTCTGGCGGCACGCGCAAGAGCGAGTACACCTCGCCCGTGTCGGACCTCACGTGGGCCGAAGAGAGCATCTCCCAGCCCAGCCTCCGCAGCGACAGCCAGGTGGATGTGAGGGGCCCGCGCGCCGTGCCGAAGGTGGTGGACTCGAGTTTGGCGTGGGCCACGTCCCAGGCCCTCTGCAGCCTCGCGCCAGAGGTGCGGCCGTCCTACAACCAGCCAGCGTACCGCAAAATCAACGGCACCGAGACGTCGTATATCGGGTCGTATTGCGGGCTCGGATGCGTCAGCAAGTAGGCCGTGCATCCAGAACCAGGCTTCCACCCGTTCAGAGTGGCCGCAGTATGTCGGAGAAGACGAAGCCGATGGTCCGCCATGCCGCTGACGCCCGCGCCGTGGGTGACCGACGGGGCCAGGCCAGTGCGCCACAGCTGCGCCGCCTTGCGCCCCGCTCCGCGGGACAACATGGCGAGTCGGCGGCCCCTCGCAGAGAGAGCTGCCACGCGAGCCGCCTCCTGACGCTGGAACACCCTCGGCCCATGGTGCTCGTGGCCGAGGTTGCGCATCGCCCGCCTCGGGCGCAAGCCAATCTGCAGCGCCCGCGCCCTGAAGCGGTGCGCGAAGCGCGCGCGGTTGAAGATCAAGCCCGACTTGGCTTGCTTGACCCGCATGCCGAGGCCCTGCACGCAGCGCGTCAGCTCGACGGCCGCCACCTCGAGCTGACTAGCCTCCGCCTCACGAGGCCCCACAGAATGCAGAGTAATGTCGTCCATAAGCTGCCGGGGCCGCACGTTGGGGCACATCTTGCTGAGCCTCGCCATCGCGCGGTGAGTCAGCACCAGCAGCGCCGTGGGAGCGTGACTGCACCCCGCCAGCACGCCCTGGAAGACCAGCATGGCCAACGACAGGCTGGGCCCGACCGGGACCCTGCGAGGCTGGTGGTAAAGCTCGATCATCATCCACACCAGCCGCAGGGGGAAGTGGCACTCCCTAGCCTCCAAGAGAAGCTGGCTGCTGTCCACGAGCTCGAAGCACTTGGCCATGTCGCTGACCCACGTGCCGCTCTGCTCGTCCAACAGGGTGGCCACCTCCTACTCCAGGTTCAGGTCGAACGCAGAGTCGCTGGAGGTGAAGCGGGAGCGATTGCCCCAAACCCAAAGGGCCGCGTGGGTCTCCTCCCACCGCTTCCCCAGGGGGCGGCGCAGCTTCCCCCACACGCGCGTCAGGGTGTGGAGTAAGGCTATGAGGCGCTTGCCCCCGTCCGCCTTGCTCAACTGCACGAGCTCCGTCTCCACGCGACCGTCGGGC